CAGCTGCCCAGCAGGGTTGTGGGGACATGGGGGAGGCAGGGCTGGTGCCTGGGCCAGCAGGGAGCAGGGATGAGGCGAGAGCCGGGGAGGGCCTCTCCAACAGTCCCTGCAATGTTGGGACTCAGACCGTGGCAACCGTCAACAGTCCATGAAATGTTGGGGGTTGCACCCTGGAAACAATCAACAGCTCTTGGCTATTTGGGTTTGGACCATGGAGCTGTCAACAGCTTGTGACCATTTGGGCTTGGACCTTGCGACGGCCAACAGCACTTTGATCGTGTGCTAGTGACCCTGCAAAGGCCAAGAACGTTTGAATATTTGGGTTAGGACCCGGCAAAGGCCAAGGGCCTTTGGACACTGGGGTTAAACCCTGCGAAGGCCAAGGGCCTTTGGACACTGCACTTTGGACACTGTTTGTGCCAAGGAGCGGATGGACACGCGACAGGTGAGTGAGAAAGCCACTGCTCTCCTTGTGCCAAGCCCTGCAGGGGCCTGGGTGGGCCTGGGCTGTGCCTCAGGGAAGGCTTCCCTCTGGGAATAGCAAGGGTTTAACAGTTGCTGTTCCAGAGCTCCAGCAGCTTTGGTGCTTGCTGTGGGGACAGGCCTGGGAGGGAATGGGGGGCACCTGGCCATCCCAGAGCACAGCCACATCTCCTCCTCCATCCTTGTCCAACGGGAGGGGCCATGGGCACAAACAAGGGTCATCACCTTCCCCTCAGCCTAATTTACAGTGCAGCCTCAGCGCTTCCCAGAGGCAAACTGGGGTTTCTCTCAGACATTTCTGAGATGATCCCCAGTGGCCTAGGGGAGGCCACGGGGATAACAGGAAGATGCTCCAAGGGCTGGAGCACCTGTGCCAAGGGCAAAGGAGGCAAGAGTTGGGGTTGTCCAGGTGGGAGAAGGTTCCAGGGTAATCTTAGAGCTCCTATCAATGCATGAAGGAAGGGCCTGCAAGAGAGCTGGACAGCGACTTAAGGCAGGGGCCTGCAAGGACAGGACGAGGGAAAATGGCTTCCCACTGAGACAGGGCAGGGATGGATGGGCTATTTGCAGGGAATTCTGCCCTGTCAGGGTGCTGGGGCCCTGGCATAGGATGCCCAGGGAAGCTGTGGCTGCCACTGGATCCCTGGGAGTGTTCAAGGCCAGGTTGGATGGGTCTCTGGGCAACTCCTGTTTTGGTGTCCTTAGAAATGATGAGACACATTCCAGCATGTTTGTTTGTGCTGCTGTCAAACTAGTGGGCTGAAAATATTCCCAAGGAGGGAAGGAAGAGCTCAGCTGGAATTGCTGCGCTCTGGGACAGTCTGGGAAGCACTTAGATGCGACTGGGCAGGCATGCAGTCTGAGTGTGCTCTTCCCTGTGCTCTTCCAGGGAGCTCGAGGTCTTTCTCACCAGGGACAATCTTCCCGAGCCCCTGAGGTGAGTAAACTGTGCTGAGCTGGCTGGGATTTTGAAACTGAATGGACACTGGTTCTTGTGGGATCAGAAGAGGCATCTCAGTGGTCCTTTGGAATAGGAAGAGAATGCCTGATTAACAGCTGGATGTGGGCTTTCAGGCACTGACAGACGACAGTGACAGCATGGCCCATTCCATCTTCTGCACTGACAATCCTGGCAGCATCCTCTGAACTCTGACATCCACGGATAAACAGGATCCCTTTGCATTGCTTCGGGAAGTCTCAGGGAATTGTGGGCGCTTGCAGGAACGTATTGGTCAAATGGACGAGGAAACCCAAACGGTCACAAGCCGCTATCAGCAGATGGAGGATCTGATAGAAGAAATCAGAGGGTGAACATTTCCTCCTCCTCCTCCTCCTCCTCTTGCATTCCAGATGCAATCTGCTTCCAGGTCTGGGAGTTCAGAGGTTCCTGGGTGAAGAAATCACCTGCCCTACCATGTGTGGCTCTTGAGCATCGTCCTGTCAGGGTTTTTCATGCTCTACTGTGACTCCTAAGGCTGTGTGGGAGATGCACAGCCATGTTGGAATAGAAGACTCCTTCTTCTCACCATACCGCTTCCCTGAATTCTGTTCTTTGCGTGCCTCTGCCCAGCCACTGCTTCTCACTGAAGGAAGGCAAAATCCTGCCTTCCTTTCCCTTTGCCTCTGGAGGATTTCCTAGGGAGGGAAAGAGCAAGGTCTTCCTTAGCCCACTGCCCCCTGCTCCAGCCTGGAGTGCTGGAAATGGGATTGGTGACTCTTGAGGCCTCTTTGTTCTTCTGACTGAGCCTTGTCTCTGCAGTTGCTGTGAAAACATTGAGAAGTCCAGGGAAAAGCTGCAGCAATGCATGGGAATCCCAGAGCCAGGAGCCTTGTGGCTGCGTCAAAGGAACACCGAGCAGCAGAAGGAAACGTCACCCCAGGTGGAAAAGGCCCAGCAGCAGGACAGGATGGAGGTTGGTTTTTGAAATGAGACTGGCTTTCCCTTGAATACTTGTCTTGGCCCTTCTTGTACAGTGGAGGCTGCACTGGAGGGAGAAGACCCCTCATTGCAGAGCGAGCTGGAAGTCAAGAGGCAGACACTGGAGGAATTGCAGCTTCAGAGGGATCTGCTGGAGCAAAGGAGGGATGATGTCACCATGGCTCTGGACACCTCATTGCTAGGCAGCACCTGTGGGAGTGGGAGTTGTGCCAGCCAGATCAGCCCAGATGCTGGTTCTGGCAGAAGAAGACAGGGACACTGTTGTGGACAGCTGCCTCAAAATGGCACACACCATCATTGAGGAAGGGCTCAAGGTGTACCTTGTCCTGTTTCCAGGTTTCCCAGGAGCAAGAGTTATCAAGCAGGGCCCTGGAGCAGCTGCGCCAGCAATCCTCTGGCCAAGGGCAACCACTGGCCCAGGTGCACAGAGAGAAGGAGCTGCTGGGCCAGGAGAAGGCTGCCTTTAAGGGACGACTGGCAGCTATGGAGCAGCAGAGGCAAGAGCTTTGCAAGCAGCTGGCAGAGACCAGGTAAAGGCAGGGAGCAGAGCCTTTCAGATGTTTTTACATTCCACGGACATAAAATGGAAGTGTCTCAAAAGAAAAAAAAGTCACAATATGAAGGTTATTTTTCTGACATCTAAAGCCAACAAAGCTCTCGTCAGCCTTGGGCTCCTGTTTGTGCTGCCAAGCACATTCCTGTGGGAAGTCAAAAGCAAGCCACCCAGCCCTGAATTGAGTAGTAGTTAAAGCATGCAGAGGTTGAGTGAAACCTCATGTTTCTCTTAGGTTTGGTTCCTTATGCTGGGCATTGAACATCCCTCGTTTGTTACCAAGTAGCTTGACATGATCTTGATCTTCAGAACTGAAGCTCCATCTTGAGCATTCCAGGCTCTTACCTGGGGATGTTGGGAGTGTTTTGTTCTAGAAGGGGAAGTCCTGTATGTTTTCCCTTGTTGCTTGCTGCCATTGTGG